AACTTTTTTTTCTTCATTTCAGTCGGGAGTCATCGGATGCAACTTATGCTCATCTGGCATGCCCTGTGAGGATATTGAATTATTCACAACCGGTGTCGGAGTGGTCGTACGTCTACGATCATTGTATACTTGCCTATTTGTCGTCCGTCATGCAGTGGATTGGCATGCACTCTCTAGATGTCATTCTCCAAGGAGCGTTCCAAGGCGTAATAAAGCTTCAGGTGCCTGGACTTTATAATGTCATTGCTTCCTTAATTTCGGTTTTCCGTGAGTGTATGCTGAAATTATTGCTTTTGCCTAGCCTGATAATGTACACGGTTAAAATGAGAAAAGTCTTTTTGAGAATGGTCAAAACCAGAAAGTATGTTTTGAGAAAGTTTGGATGAAGAAGGGTTAAAATGAGAAAAGTCATTTTGAGAATGGACCAAACCCCGAGGTTTGTTTTGAGAACGGTTTAAGTGAGAAAGGGAGAAAAGCGAAACTTTTTTTTGCGCTGGGTTGAAATGAGAAGGTGAAAACGAGAAGGTGGAAATGCGAAGGGGTTCAAATGAGAACCACCCAATCTTAATCTAGTAACGTTGGCCCGGACCAACGTTTCTTTTTACATACAAAACAATGACGTCGCACAAACAAACAAAAAAAAAGCATACTAGACATATTACTGTTGCTCAAAAAGGCTGGTAACAGAGGGCGAGTGGTGCCACCTGCGAACAAGTCCTAACTAGAATAGTCGCTTTCGTTGGATCACGCCACAGCGCCGCGCGCAGCTGGTCGCGCCAGAATCACCTGACCCGCTGAGAAAGGGACATACCCAAATGCATTGCGGCTGACTGCCACTTTTGCGGTTGACTTCTCCTTGGCCATATAGATAAACTCGGGAAGAAATGTGCTCTTGTGGAGAGTAGAGCGCGTTTATTATGTCGTAGTGTGCTCTGCCATGTCATTTTGTGGGGTTTGTGGTTAACTATAAACTCGGGTCTTTCTTCTTCTCTCTCCCTTTTCTTGGGATCCTTGAAGAGAGTGTGACGGAATGCCACGACAATCATTACCAAATGTGTCACATATACTTCAGGGCACAATTCTGTACAAAAGAGTGGTAAATTGAGACGAATCAAAAAATATATTCTCATCGCGCTTCAACCTACGACCTCATTATAGTGAGCTCGACATCCTACCACTGCGCCAATTAGTGGGTAGATGTGAAGCTAGCTGACTTTGTGTATCACAGTGGTTTCCACTAAATGTTTGAGCGCCGAATGTTGGACGCTAGCGTTCGGCGTTCAAACAGTTTATATCTAAGACGTCCCCACCGTCGCATGGAATAGGACAAAGTTTGGAATAAAATAACATGCTGGCCAAAGAAAAAGAACGAAAAAGTACTACAATGTCCATACTTAGTGACTCTAGTCAGTCACAAACTCCGAATGATGCTGCGGAAACACCTTCTGGGTATACCAACTTTGTCTGTAGGACCAAGGTAAATGAAGCATTTTTAATATTTTTTCATGCCATTATTTCCCCCACAGATCGTTTTAATCGATTCCGTGTCGTAAAATCAAGCGCTATGGTTATGTATAGTCACACAGCTGCCCACAGTCTCACACGCTTCCGGGCCTTGGCGAGCAAAGTACTTATCTTTCAGTTTTGTCTCCCGTGCGCACAGTGGTAGAGTGTCGGGCTCACAACCTTGGAATCCATGGGTTCCAGGTCCAGGATACAGGACATCGAAATAGACCAAGTAGGAAAATACAAATATCTGGGAGTCTGGCTCAATGAGGGAACAAAATATTTAGAGGAACACGAGGAGAATATAATTAGAAAAGGGAAAAGAAATTCATCAATTATGAAGCTCAAGGCGCTATGGAACTATAATAGGTATGAAGTGGTCAGAGGTATATGGAAAGGAGTGATGGTGCCAGGGCTGTCTTTTGGCAATGCAGTGCTGTGCATGAAATCAGAGGTTCAATCAGGATTAGAAATTCGACAAAGAAGCGTAGGCAGGCTGGCACTGGGAGCGCATGGAAAAAACACCAAATGAGGGAGTACAGGGGGACATGGGATGGTCGTCTTTTGAGAGCAGGGAGGCAGTTAGTAAGTTGAAATTTGAACAAAGGTTGACCGAAATGGATGATACGCGGTGGGCACGGAAGGTATTCAAATATTTGTACATGAAAAGTCTAAACACAAAATGGACAAACCGAATTCGAAAGCTTACATTTAAATACCTACATACTGGTGATGGGGCTGAACAGACTACTTCAGTGAAAAAAGGGGTGAAAGAGGTAGAGAGGAAAATGTGGGAAGAAAGAATGCAGGATAAATCAGCTCTAACAGTGTACAGGTCACGAAAGCAGGACATAAGAAAGGAAAATGTTTTTGACAATTCAATAGGAAGTTCTTTGCTGTTCGAGGCGAGAACGGGGGCTTTCAGGACGAGGACGTATAGGGCTAAATTTCAGGAGATAGACACTTTATGTGCTGCTTGCCATAATGAGAGTGAGACACTTGAGCACTTGGTATTAAAGTGCACGGGGCTTCGTCCTGCAATCCCTGAGGGGGTAACAGATCTGGCCGGGGCCTTGGGGTTTGCTGGAGACGATGGAGGGACGGAGGAGAAGAGGATTACAGTCACAAAGAGGCGATTAGAAGATTGGTGGAAATTATCTAGGGAAAATTGAATGATGCAGAACTAACTAGCACAGCTGGGGACAGGCGGGACAGAGGAAAATTGGGACTCCCTCCCGCGTGGCTCCGGCCCAAAGTCTCAACCCTGTCTCCCAGTGGGTCCGGTGCGGGGGTAACGCCGACAAGGTCTGACCAGAGAAAAATTGGCGACTCCCTCGCCGGGGGGAAGAGGCGGGGGGTGATGTTTTTAGTTTTTTTGCCCGATCCCCCGAAGGTCATCCTGGTGATATCCCACACTACCTGGTGATAGCTAAGGGGCAGAAAATTGGCTTAGAAGGGCGCGAGAAATCAAATCAAATGTTTGTCTTTCTTAGACTTAGGCTAGGTGGTGCGAGCTACCACCCGATACAAAGGGTATAGCCAGTAACATCCATCCATCCATCCATCCATCCTTCTCGTTAAAAAAACAACAAAAACGTTTGACTTTTTTTTTTTTTTTTTTTTTTTTTTATCTCAGTTATATTTAGGCTTTCGGGTTTTCCGCGAATGCCCATAAACCCCGGAAATTAGTCCCCCCCTTAGCCGATCTTATCAAAATACGGGAAAACCGTAAAATCCCAAATTCAAATGCCTTTGCGAAAGATAAACACAATTAATTTTCGGGGAAGTAAATATTTCTCTACTACTTGGTTGTGTTGATCCGGAACACAATCATCAATCCTTCTCCCTCCCCTTTCCCCTTTTGTTTTCCTGCCCTCATTTTTTTGTGTTCTTTGGTATTTTATTTTTATATAGTGATTAAATCTACTTCTTGGGTTGCATCCTGCCTGCAGTATTTTAAATAAAAAAAATCTGCATTAAAATAGCCAATAGCCCCATTGCTAAATTACAAAAGCATCAAGGAGAATGCAGGGATTGGTGTTCCAAGCGCCGCGCGTTCTGGCCTCAGCAGTAGTAACTTTTCCAAAGCAAATGCCTAAAACAAATTGCATCTAGCACGCGCGTTCGTCAATGTTTTGTTTTGGTTATTTACTTGGATTCTTTTATACGGGAAAGGCGTGCGCGCGTGGCACGTTGAACGCCAATCCCTGCATTCTCTTTGGTGCCTGGGTAATAGACCGATCTCACCAGCCAGTTTGACTACGCCACCGCTGCCGCAAAGCATCGAGGGAACTTTAGTCTTTCTGCGCGTGCGACAACCTCGCTGGAGCTCTGCGCGTGCAGGGCACGAACACTGCCGATTGCCCCCTGTGAAATAAGGTTATGGCTGCCTCGCGCATGCGTCGAACGCTTGGTGAGATCGGTCTATTTAACAATAGGTTTATTGCCGATGATGTGATATGGCTACCTTTGGACCATCACACACCTGTCGTGCTGCTTGCTGTGTGTGTGCCTGGGATAACAAGCTTTCGGCAGAGTTTATTTTCGTTAGTGTTGCTCTGTTCAGATGCAGGTGTTTCACAACATTCCATTCAATGTATTGGAGCTTATTTTATTCTTGAATAATACCATTATATATATATATACCATATATATGTATACCAGAAAAGTTTCATGGCTACTTTGTGAACAACTATAATGCAGTCATTCTCTGAACTCATATTTGCTCTCACGTTTTCTTTTTCCGCAAAACAAAGCCTTGGCCCCAACCGTCACTAAAATTGAACCTCTAGGCACAAAAACATGTCAGGCGCTTCGATGCCCAGAAATTTGCCCAAACTACCGGTTACCGTGTCAAAGTGTGCCTTGTATTTGTGTTATGATAGTTGGTTTCTAATACATAATGTGATGTATCTCTGGCTTCAACAGTTCCCTGTACATTCCTATAATGTGAAATATCACATGGAAATTGATTGTACTCGAGTGATGCACGAGCGTTAGGTTAGAACCCTTGTCCCCCATAATACGAGTCCCAGTCTAACGCTGGTGAAGCTCTCGTGTCTAGTCTGAACCCCCGTGCTGGTCTCCAGTAGGTGATATAGAGAATCTAGCACTACAACCTTGCTCTATGGATAGTGTCGAGCGTGTGCGTTTGTACAGATGGTGAGAGAGTCTACAAGAGGTGAAAGAAAAGGGAATACAAGCGCCTCCTTCAGAGGAAATGAGGATTTAAAGCAGGTCCAAAGTTGGGGCATGCAACCGCAAGGAATGCAGACTACAGATGCCACTGCCCTTGGAGCACGAGCTTTGACAGGGGCATAATTTTCACATCATTGAGACATAAATTGCGTGCCAAGTTCATCTGTGCAACGTCACTTCAAAATAAGTCAACATGTTTAGTGTTCCCACCGACTTCGTCACTATAGTGGAAAGGGGGCAAAGTGTGTTTTTTTTTTTTTGTCTAACAATATGCATGGATGTGTCTTTTTGTGTAGGTGATAAAGGTGCACACTTGACGGGGATCAGCTGCCTACCGGAACCCACGACGAGCATTCTCTTCAAGTGCTGTTTCTGCACCCACGTCACCGGAGAGCAGCGTGAAATCCTCAGTCACCTGACTGTCCATGGTGATGAACAGCTCAAGTGCCAGCACTTTCCAAAGTCATTTTATAGAGTGGAGGACTTGAGACACCATTCTGAGATTCACAAACTAGAAGGAACTTTCGAGTGTAAACGATGTCCAGCAGCATACCAGAAATATGCTCATCTATAGTAAATCACATCCGAATGCACGCGGTTGAAAAACCCTTCAAATGTAAGAAATATCCGCTAGCATTTTCTCAAAGTAGCCGCCTAGCCTATCATATCCGAGCCCACACATGTGAAAAACCTTACGAATTCCAAGAATGCCCCGAATCATTTGCTCGTAGTAGTGCCTTGGCTGCCCACATGTGAACTCACACCAGTGAGAAACCTTACGGATGCCAAGAATGTCCCAAAGTGTTTTCTCGAAGTAGTTATCTGAGTATACCACATTCGAAGCCGCAGAAGTGCCCCCAATTTTTTAGTCAGTGTGAGAGGCAGAATCAACACATTCAAATGCACACGGGAAAGGGACCTTACAGATGTGATCAATCTCCCCAAACCTTTAGTCAGAGCGATATTGCTGACACAGCAGATTAGAACACACACAGGGTTTACAAATGTGAGCTATGTCCGGTCCCCAAGTTTTTAGTGTTTAGTGCACTTAAGTGCGCGACCCGCCACATTCGAACTCATACAGGTAAGAGACCTGGCAAATGCGAGCAATGTCCCCAAGCCTTTAGTGGCATGGAAATCTGACCCAGCACATTTGAACGCATACGGGCGAAAAACCTTAAAAATACGAGCTATGTCCCCAAGCCTTTAGTGTGCGTGGGAACTTGACCCGCCACTATCGTATTCACACGGGCGAGCGACCTTACAAGTGTGAGCAATGTCTCAAAACCTTTGGCCGAGGCACGCGAGACACAGTAAAAGTGTATCTCCCATAAGCTTGAGTCAACGTACTCAAGCAAAGTAAGAAGATTTGTACAAAAATTTGCACGAAAAATTATTTTGAAATTACCGCAGTCACCGAAATGTGTTAGGTTTTAGCGCAGGGATTCGTTGTCTTGGGAGAGTGAGTAGTTTCGGATGCAGCCACCACAGCTTATAGAGTGCGCGTCAACAGCGGTGCATCATTGGAAGCCTGCGAAAGACTCTTGGACAGCCTGACCCACCACATTCAAACACATACGGGCGAGAAACTTTACAGGTGCGAGCAATGTCCCAATGCCTTTAGTGAAGGGAAACCGGAGGTGGCACATTCGAATACATAAGGCGCTGTGGAAATGGCATGTTCCAATACTTGTCGAAGTCAGCCGGCCCAAGCAGAGTAATGAGTTTTGTAGAAATATAATTTTAAAAAAAAGCAGCCAGGGAATAGGCTTCGCAGGTGTCAGCAATCAGACTTCCACTGTGGTTGGATAACATCTTACCTGCGTTGATAGTTCGCACAAGCTTTCTTAACAATCCTGCTTACTAGACACTTGAAGCATGTGTGTGCGGAGCAGGGGTGGATCTAGAGCAACTGATTGCCTAGTCCTGAATTAAGGCAAATGGCCAACAGCCTTCACTCTCATTTCAATAAAGCTTGGTAAGCTCTGGAAATGAGCTAGTCCCTCTTGAAGTATGTTTAGAATATGCTTGCAGTGGCTGCCTATGCTTTCTATTAGAGTTCTTGTGCAAATCATTTTGAAAAACCTTTTTTCAGCTGCGACCTTCTTGCTTTCATTTATATCCATGGCTTTTCTCATTTGCTTCAAAGTGTTCCAGATAATAAATAAGTGCCCAAACTCAGCTTTTCTTATTTCTTGCCCTGCCTACTGTGCCATATTTGGACCATTACCATCATCGACCGGTAATGATATGCTATTTGTTGCACAGCTGGGCCGACATCGATTCAAAGCTGCTGGTTAACTTTTAGTGGGATAATTGGGGAACGAAGATCGCAGCAGGTAGGGATGTGGGCAATGAATTCTCAATCACTAGTGATTCTTAACATTAACTTAACATTAAAACATGATCGAAGCTGTGAAAGTAGGCACAAGGGCTCACTGAAGTCAATGATAAGCCCCTGTAGACGACGGGAGGCAATTGATCGAATGACGTTTTAGCGAACGCCCACGTTTCACGGAATGACACTTTAGCGAATAGTCGGACGCCGCGTAGCGGCGTTTTCGGGTGGGCCAAGTGGGTTCACATTTTTGTAATGACTCGCCGCAGACTGTCGCCGCGAAGCGGCGTAAAGCGCAGCGCGGCGGATGGGTTAACGCGCGCCCCGGTTATTCGCTAAAACGTCGATTCGCTCAAATGTCGCTGTTCGCTAAAATGTCATTCGCTCATGTGATATGGACCCAAAATAGTTATGTATGGAACTAATTGTGGATACTAATCGTTTTCTTGTATAGTCGCTGACAAGATGAGAACAGCGTTGAGGGGTGTCGGTTGTCCCGTCTCTAGCGCAAGCTTCCTATTTTCGACAAAGCTTTGGTGTGTCCTGCACCTGGAGCGCGCGTGTGCAGCCAAAGCACAGTGAGAGGCATGGAGGACGAGCATTGAAAATACTCGCCCTGCGTCGTATTTTGCTCTGTCTGCGACTATATAGTCTGTTACAGGTTAGGAACAGCAGGACAAACCCACTAAGTTCTCTGCTTGCCATGGTTGATTGTTTCGTCCTCTCCAGTGTTTGCTGTGCTATAAGGTGGAAAGAGCAGAAAACGCCAACTTTGCTTCGAAAGACACTTCATCGAATGGTCGGTCGCCGCGAAGCGGCGTTTACTGGTGGGCCAGGTGGGTTAACATGTCAATTTGTAATGAGCCGTTGCATGTTTTCTCCGCGAAGCGGCGTGAACGCAAAGGGGTGGGTGGGTTAACAAGCGCCGCGGCGATTCGCTGAAACATCTCCGCTCAAATGACCGCTGTTCGGTAGAAGTAATTTGTTCTTGTGGACCCGCTGCTCTCTGCTCTTCCATCTGGTGTGAATGAAAACAAAATCTTCTATACTTTTGTTCGTTTTTTTTATTTTGTGCATTTGAGCTTGGGGAAACCTGGCTAGATTAATGCGTCGGTCTACCGTCGAAACATTGGGCTTCGGTATACATAGGAGACGAGATATAAAACCACACCGCATATTCTAAACAACTTACGCAAGCGTGACAGAATGGATGCCCCAAACCTGACGAAGTGTATTTATTTCATTATATGCACCGACAGCTTTCACCTACCACAGAATGCGTACTGTCTAGTCCAGCGGTTCTCAACCATTGGTGTTTCGTGAGTTCCTTGTGGATCAGCGGAGATGATTGAGGACCCCGTTCAGGGTGAGGGGAAGAGAAGTGTAGGTTAGTTATGATAATGATTTGACGAATGGTTATAACTAAGGGCCAGAGTGAAGTATAGGCTTTTCTCATTTACAAGAGTAAACTTGACAGAAAACTAAAACGTTTGTTCTCAATCTAAAAAAAAAAAAAAAACTTTTATTGCCGGGCTTGACTGATGTGACAGGGCTTCACGGACCCCATAATTTCTTTGCGGATCCCCATTTGATAACCACTGGTGTAGTCCATTGTTTGCGAATCGACGTGGTGCTTTGTCGCTTCCTTCCTTGTCCGTCTTGACGTCTCAAGCTTTGGAATATACTAGTGATGCAAATTCAGCCTCTGTTGCTCTTCCGTCAAGTTCGCAACTCTTTTACTCATCTGTTACCGAAACATATAGGTTAGCGTTTTGAAACTTTTTGAAAATATCGCCAAGTGCCCATTAGCGAAGCCATTTACGAGGTGGGACCCACAAGTAACCCGAATTATTTTTCTGAAGGGCAGAGGGCGGGTGTTCCTCGTAGTACAACTTTCTCCCACTAGCTGCGTTTTCCAGGCACCCGTCTGCATCACTGTAGCAGTTGACGTTCTTGCGAGACATTGCGTTTGGCTTGAATGGATTTTTTTTTTTTTAAGACTGCTTTAACGCGTTTGCTTATTTACGATGGACGATTTATACAAACAATGTGCGGCGGGAAAGTTTTGCTTCCCGATGAAGGAAAATGCGGCGGGAGCGGTTGTTATGCTACAGGCAACTCCCAAAAAAAGCTGCTCCGACTAAAACACAAGTCTACGAATGGTTTCCTACCCGTTTTAAACGAAGCGCAATGTCATTTGACAGTCAACCTTGTTCCAGGGGTCCCAGTGAAAAAACTACGGCATGTATTCGTCAAGTCATCTTCGATAACCGTCGTCGGACGGTTAATGAACTTGTGAAGTTGACTGGAGTGCCAGGGAGTTCTGTCAGCAAATTTTATGGGATGATTTAGGCATGTCACGAATTGCAGCAAACTTCGTACCTTTCTTTGGTAAATTGGTTCATCCTCCGCGACAACGCACCTGCCGACAACGCGACAAATACTCAGCAGCTTTTTTTTTTTTTTTTTTTTTTTTCTCTCCGACGGCTACCAGGTCCTCGCACTCCAAGTCTGCGACCGGGCACTCTATGGCTCCGTCGTCGAACTGCCAGGCTTTGAGAGTATAGAGGAGGCTAGGGTGCTACCTACGGTTCGCCTAACTCTCATTCTCCGCCGAAATGTAGCGCTTGTGGTCCAATCTAGGTGCCAAAGTTTCAGAACTAACCGCTATCTTATTTCGAAATTATAAGTAGGGCTACGTGTTTTCGGTATATACCGATAAACACCGAAAATTAGCTCCCGAACCGAAAAACCCTAAATTAAGCTGTCCTTGAAGAAAAAAAAAAAAAAAAAAAAAGCTTTAGCTTTCCGGGAAGAAATATTCCATTCTACTTTATTTTTTCTCGTTGACCCGAAACACAGCCGCACTGAACTGTCCTCGGGGTTGTTCCTTTCCCTCGAAAGAACGTTCCTTTCCCCGTTTCCTTCCCTTTGTATTTACCAGCATGACGCGGTGTCTAAGTATTTAGTCCAGGCATAATTAAGTTTCCTGTAACATAGGGAAGAAAATAGGACACGGAAATGTTGTGGGTTGAGTCCTGTATAAGGAGTATTCACTGGGCGCCATATTTGTGAGTGCTGTCTAGAGCGCATGCTCAGAACGAGCTCACATCAATAGGCTGCTAAGACCGACTATTTTGACGGTGTGGCATGCACGTTGCAAAAGAACTGTGGAGGCTCGCCATCAGCACGCGCTCAGCAGTCGCGCACACAACTATGGCCGCCAGTGAATACTTCTTATAACTTCCGCAGGCCGGGAAGGGTGAATATACGGGGAACCGTCTGTACCAGCTAAGAAGACAGTGAAATTAATTCATTTAACATTCACTAAGAATGTTTAGCATTCACTAATTGTGTAAAGCGTTCGGTATGTGTTCAAGAAAGTTGTGTAATACAGGGCGTTGTAAGTTATAATATTTTCTCTAGTAATTACCCAGTCGCTTTACTAGACAAGCCCGATGAACATCGAATTCTTCCGGCATTGAAATTATAGACACCGAAAAACACTGATTCAAAGAGAGAGAAAAAAAAAAAAAAAAAAAAAACGAATGCCGACAAATAATCCTGAATTTTAAGAAAAATTAATACCGTCAACACGGAACCTGATTTTCTGTGATTCTCAATAGAAAAGTGGCGGTCGAAGCAGGGTATGGGCCTTCGGCCTTGCTGCCGCACCCCCGTCTCTCCTGAGTCGAAATAAATGAGATGAAATTAATTGAAATGAGTTCTCGCATACATGGAACTGAATAGCGCCAGTCACCAAAAACGAGCGTAAACAAGCCGCATTCTCCCATTGACATTTTTAGGGAATCACATAACTTTTTGATTGAGGTGACGGTCAGTTCTAAAACATTGGCATCTGCTTCGGAGAATAAACGTTTTAGCAGTAAAAAAAAAAAAAGAAAAGACAGCAACAACAACGTATTTTGGGGGATTTATTTTATACATCGCGATAAAGTGGCTAATTAACTTATGTATGTTGAACAATGTACAGTATTTTAAAAATCGGAAGATATTCATTTATTACTTTTCTTATTTTCGTTGCCGGATTTCGACACAGCAAGTTGCGGGGAGCTCCTGTCCACAAATAATGCGTGTGACATACGTGACGTGTGGTATTTTCGCGCCATCTTGATGTGATTGCTGCTGCGCCATTTGCTCCAAAGTTCTTTAAAGTGCTTACCGGCCTGGACCTGCATGTATACATGTCCTGCTACATTTCAGCAAAATAACAAAATTTCCGCCGACACTGCGCCGAATTTTAATTTTACTTTCTTACTGCTGGAATTCTAATGCCTTAAATACACCAATTTTTTTATTTATTTTATTCGGTAGGTTTGCACGCATTCTTGAAGCTTGCGTGTTGAATATACTGGCAATACAGGGGTAGTTCCGCCGTATTTTT